CCCACCCAGCTTAGGCCCATGGCTGGCAGAAAATGTAGACTTAGAATCAAGAACTTTGCTGTGGCCACTTGTACCTCATACCACACTGGCTGAACACCCATGGGAGAGTTCAGACCAGTTGTGCCTAAGCAAACTGTACACCTGTTGGCTTATTGGGAGTGACCCAGTATAGTGCGGTATGTGAGGGATAAGCAGGAAGGGAGAGGGACTTCATAGGGCTTCATTAATTATGTTCCCAGAACTCAAAGCACCATGGGAATGTTTCCTCACTCCCACTTCTGTCTTTTCTGACTGCTTCTTCCTTGAGGATTACAGAAAAGTCTGTCCCCCTTTGCTTCTTGGCTCCCCCTGAGGGAATAGAGATTCTGTTAGAGAAGGAAGGTAGGATTGGTGTATGAATCACTTTCTCTTCCACTAAAAGGAGTCCTAGATCCATCCTGCATGACTTTCCATGGCATCTACACTGCCAGGAGCCTGTCCCTGGACAAGAGGCCTTGTCTCAGATTTAGCAGCTGAGGAAGAGCCTTTGGCCTCTTTTTTTTTTGGAGAATTGTCCAAGGTTTTGGAAGTGAGCTTGGCAGCCTGAGTCCTCTTAAGATGTTCAGTTCAAGCCCTGTCTCAAGCCTTCCCTGTCCTGGGAATCTAGTCTCTGGGCAGCAGAGCACAGTGCATTTTTCCTGCCCTTGGAAGATGTGGTACCTCAAGCTTGGCATGGTGAACATTATAATGTGGCCCCGCCAGCATTTTCAGCCCAGGGCTGGGTTGCCACAGAATGCAGATACCACATGCATCTGCTCTGCTCCTTCCTCTCACCTTTACCTTGCAGGAAGCAAGGTGCATAAAGCAAGTGTTGGGCTTTGCGGCTCACCCCTGTCAGCATCCCCAGATAGTCCATCATGAGCACTGCCTGGATCTGCTGAATCTGATTCTCCAGACCCGGCGTGATGGTTTCATGTGGCTGAGCAACAAAATGGCTTTTCCTTCATCTTTCACAGCTGCCTCAATGGCAGTATCAGCTGTGTCCTGCTAATGGACATCTTTTGACAGAAGTAGCCTGTTGGTTTCGGACAGACACAGATCTAGTCCTAAGGACACAAGATATAAGTGAGGGACCCTAGAAAAACCAAAAGAGATGTGAAGCGGGGCTAAATGGTTGGGGGCATCCTCAAGGCACTTTCCTTAGGAGAGGGTCGTGGTCCCTGCCACTCTACAAGGTGGTGTGCAGATGGGCAGGGCCTAAGAAACCAACAGCGGTCAGGTCCTTCTCCATTGCCTCCTGGAAGAAAGCTGCCTTGCAAATGGAGCAGCAGAGACACATCCGAGACACTGCTAGCCATGAAAAAAGCAATTGATGCTGTAGATTTGAGGTTCCTCTAAAAGAATAGCTTTTACCACACCCTAAATTCATTCAGGACCTTCTGAGTAGTTTCTATCTTGTTAGATGCAGTGGGGAAATCATATCAGGTAGCTCTGCACAGGGTTGCTTGCTAGTTTTTAAGGGAAGCCAAAGACATAGACACTTCTATCACCTTATAGCTAGAATGTGCTGTATCTATACAGTAGAATATTATTAGGCCCTTAGAAGGAAGTACTAAGACAAGCAAGTACTGAAACATGGAACAACCTTGACTACATGATTCATAATAAAAGAAGCCAGTCACAAAATACCACATATTATGTGATTTCATTGATCTGAAATATGCAGACCTGTAAAGACAAAAAGCAGCTTAGTGGTTGCCAAGACTTGGAGGGGGAGTTGAGGAGGGAATTTCCCTGGGCCTTGAGTTTCTTTTGCGGGTGGTAAAAATATTCTAAAGTTACATTGTGATGTTTGTTCTGCAACTGTGTTTGCAGATTAGACCAACCCATTGATGCAAGATATTCAGGGAGAAAAATGTGTCTGTAATGAATATGTACATATTTTCCTTCTCATTATTCCTTAATGATAGTGTAATAGAGCTGAGTGTGGCAGTGCACATCTGTGATATCAGCATTCTGTGAGGCTGAGGCAGGAGGACTGCATGTTCAAACCTAGATTAGGCAACTTAGCTAGACCCTATCTAAAAATTTTTTTTAAATGGGCTGGGGATGTAGCCCAGTATGAAGGTTCTAGTTTCAGTATTCGGTATTTGCATTGCATTTACATTATATTAGGTGTTACAAGTAATCTAGAGATGCTTTAAGGTATAGAGGAAGATAGTAGGCAGATTGTCTGCCAACACTACCATTTTATGTAGGAGACTTAAATATTCATGGACTTTCACAACTTCAGAGAGTCCTAAAACCAATCCCCTTTGCATTCCAAGGGGCACCTATACCAGAAACCATTTAAATGGGCTAATTTTATAGTGCTTAAAAAATAAAATTCAAGCTGGGCAAGCGCAAGGTCGTGAGTTTGATTCCTGGTACCAGAAAAAAAAAAAAAATCAAGATGGTACATAACTGTGACTTTGTGTGGTTTGGACAATAATGATTTTAGAGGAAGTTTGAGTAGTGACACCAGTTGGAAACTAAAGATTTCCTGGACGTTTCTGGTGATGGACTTTGAGTCGTCCAGGGCAGGAAGACTCCTGATGATGCTGACAGCTGTCAGCTTGTTGTGTGGGGGCAGGATGTGGTTGTCAGGAGCGTGTCCAGGCTCAGAGTGGGAGGCTGTGACAGGGAGAAGGTTGGATGTAGTGGGTGGGAGCAGATGTGGGGAACCTCGAAGGCCAAGCAAGGCTGTGGAGATGAGCCTGCACATGGTGTAGGATCTTGGTCAGGAGAATGGTGTGATAACACACACAGGGCCTGGGAACGTCGGGGTGAGTCTGAACTCATAACTCTAGGGAGGCCATTGAGTAAGTCCCCCAAAGTAGTACCAGGAATGACAGAGGATGAAGCAAACCAGAGTACATTTGGAGGAAACCGTCGTCTAAGCGACGGCATCGGCATCGGGAACGGGTGCTTGAGGCTTTTCCTAGGTTACGCTGGAGAGTTTGGTGTGCAGATGCTGCTTAGGACCGCCTCTGACACCTGTCATGTGCTGTGTGAGGCCAGCATCTCAGAATCAGGGTTCGCTGCTGACCAACGGCTGGTGCAGATCACGAGCTATGAAGCATTTAATCAGTGAGGTCACTTGAATGAAATGAGATTTGATCAATGGGAGTGACAGCTATTTTTCTTCAGGGTTGAGTCCAAAACTGCTTTTCTTCTGCCTTCATTTGGCAAAGCCATAAACCATTAAAAGTGGAAAGAGCAACGTTTTCTAAGACCCATAAAACCTATTTTTAACCTGCTGTGTGTTCTGCTCACCTTTGTGGCATTCCCCTTGACCGGGTTCTCAGAAACAAACGTGTGCCAGCCTCGTGGCTTCCAACCCTTTCCAGCAGCTGCAGCCCTGTTTCTGATGATCCAGTGTTTCAGGCAGAGCCCTTGGTGGTGCAGGGTGGGGGTGCCAGCCCTTGGAGGAAAGCCACACTGCCCGTCCATGGTACCTTCTAGTGCAGACCCCCACTGTCCCTCTCACCTTGCCTTCCTCCCTTTTTTCCTTTCTTTTTTGTTGTTGTTTGTTAAGTGAGATAAGGAGCCATGTACCTGCCTCAGCCTCCCAAATGGCTAGGACTACAGGCCCCCACCACCACATCCAGCTCCAGACACCTGACTTTGTTTGTAAGGTTTCTAGCAGACACTTGTTGAGCACTTGAGAAATAGGCTTAGTAAACCAAGAGGAGAGGAGCCAAGGAGAGAAGGGAGTTTGAAAGGAAGACCTGGGGCTGGGGATTTAGCTCAGTGGCACAGTGCCTGCCTGGCAAGCGCAAGGTCATGAGTTCAATCCCCGGTACCGGAAAAAAAAAAAAAAGAAAGAAAGAAAGGAAGACCTGGAGGAGGTGGCAGGGCAGTCCCCATTTCATTTATTGAGTGTTTATTAAATAACTCTCAGTACCTGGCTGGCCTTAGCCTCGGAATTTGAAGGTAAATATGATACCCTGACCTACCCCAGGTGGCAGTGCATTCTGGTGGCCAGAAGCAGCCAGGCATGTGGTTAAACATCCTAAAAGGAAACAGAAATCTCATTTCCCCTTGCTAGAAAAGAGGGGACACTGGGCCTTCAATGGCTGCTCCCGGGTGTGTCCAGATTACAACTTCTTGCTAGATGAGTCACTGGCCAGGCTAGGGATGGGTGTTCTTTGTAACATTGCCTCTTGGGAGCTGTAGACACTGGCAGGTCCAGGGCTGCTGCTTGAAAAGGAGAGGTGGGTGGGAGGGGGCAGGGTGGATGTGTGACTTCACGTTGCCGGCCACAGGAGAGGCTGGGTCCCAGCAGTGGGACGAGAGAAAAGGGCTTTGTGTGCAGCAGTTTCTGCTGCCAGAGCAAGTGTGGGTTTTGTGGCAGCTGCAGGCCTCCGTCCCTAATATAGGCAAAAGCTCCAAATCCTCCAGGCCTGCCACCTGTTAGCTGTAGGTCCCCTGAGCTGACCTTTCCTTGGGCTGGCTCTCTCACGTGTTCCTCTGACCCCCCACCTTTGCTGGATCCTGGGAACCCAGAGTCCCTGTTGGACAGGAGTGCCTTCTTGGGGCTGTTGGAGTTTTGAGGAACAGAGTGTATTCAAGAGTCACTAGGGAAAGGGGTGAGGCTGACCTAGCCAAAAGGAATAGGGCGTTCCTCTGGGAAGTGGCCACTCTTGGCAAAGCCCTGGCATGTGTTGGGGAACTGTGGATAAGTCCTGGGGAGGGCTGGCCTTTCCCCTGGGATGGGGCGAAATGAAACATGACCTGCTTAATGCTGCTGCAGCTGCTTCCTAACTTGCCTCTTTCTTCCTTTGACTTTTGGAGGAGTGGGGTGGAGGAGAAGAGATGGGGTCCCAGGTAGCCAGGCATTTCCCACTGACCCGTGTCCCCAGTCCTGCTCCCCAGCTCTGTGACCTCGAGTCCGTGTGGCCCACCGTGGCTAGCGGGACTCCTTTGTCTCCCTCCCTCCTCTCCCCTGGCTCCTCTTCCTGTCCCCGTGGTGGCTGCAGCCCAGCCCTGGGGAGGCCCTGTGGAAGTGGAGTCCCTCCTGGTCCACCCTGGTGACCTGCTGCAGCTTCGCTGTCGGCTGCGGGATGATGTCCAGAGCATCAACTGGCTGCGGGATGGGGTGCAGCTCGTGGAAAGCAACCGTACCCGCATCACAGGGGAGGAGGTGGAGGTGCGGGACTCCGTGCCCGCCGACTCCGGCCTCTACGCCTGTGTGACCAGCAGTCCCTCTGGCAGTGACACCAGCTACTTCTCCGTCAATGTCTCAGGTTGGTAGCCAAGCCCTCCTCCCCTCCCATACCCACCCTCTGTCTCTCGCTGCTGGATCAGGGGAGGTGAGCCTCCTTCCCTGCCGTGATCCTCCCACTCTGCTTCAGAAACCGCTGCCCACTAACACTGCTCCCTGCCCGGCGTGCGGCTTAGCTCTCTGAGGGGAGACCTCTGGGGTGGACCCCAGGCCAGAGACCTAGGGCTCCCAAGACCTACTTCCAAGGTGACTGGCGATGCTCTTGTGGTGGTAGGACTTTGCCTTTTCCACCACAGTTTGCCCAGATCTCCAGGATGCTGTGGGGCTCAGCCAGCTTTCATGCTGTTGCTGCCTTGCCGTTTGGACGTGATGCTCATCTTAGCGACCAGAGCCCTAGAGCATGTGGTACGGGCCCCACTGTGGTGGGAAGGACTGGGGTGCACCGCCGCCACATCATGGGCACGATGGACACACCTGCCTGCTAGCTCCTGGGCAGCCAGAGAATCTGTTACTGTCAGGATGCAGTTTTGACAAACTTAGGATTCAAGGAGGTAGAGCTGGCATCATTCGTGTACTCCGCATGTGGGGCTGGCACCTCCTCCCAGGCATCATTTAGAATCTGCCCCAATGGAGGGCTCTGCCTTCTTTATTTCCTTCCAGATCCCTGAGAGTGCCAGGAAGGACTGGCCAAAGCTGTGGCAAGAATCCTGCTGCTGACTGCCAGTGTGACACTCGTTCTCTCAAGGGGGACATTCTCATTAGGGAGTGGTGTAGGCAACTCCGAGCCTTAGCAGCTCTGCTAGGAAAATCCCGACTGTAGGCTGTTCCCACGGCTCTAGCCTTGTGTGCCTAGACCCGCCTGGGCTTCCCGGTGGTTGGCAACCCGAAGGAGGACACAGGCACCCTGGCTGCCATTCTGAGAGCCAGGATGGCTGAGTGGTACCACGGGCCGGAGAGCCTCCAAGCACAGTGTGGCATCAGAGAGGAACAGCTGGCCCTGCTGTCACCACCCATTTTGAAGGCACTGGGCTGGGGAAGGGAGGGGAGGGGTTCACACTGGGGCACACACTTCTTGAACAATCTCTGTCCCCTCAAGAGACTGTCACTAAGGGAAGAGTGGGCCTGGCGTCCTTCTGGGGAGGGGCACAGTGTTCATCTGTGACTGTGCGGGCCTTTGTGGGGTGACTGGTGTTGTGGCTGGAAGTCTCGGGTGCCTTGGTGTTGTCCTCAGTGCCCCTCATCCTTCCTGCAGATGCGCTCCCCTCCTCGGAGGATGATGATGACGATGATGACTCCTCTTCCGAGGAGAAAGAGACAGACAACACCAAACCAAACCGTATGCGTGAGACACTTTCCTACCTTACTGCCTGTGGGCCTGGGTTGAGGGAACCGGGAGATGGGCTGGAGATGGGCTAAAGCCAGTAGAGAGGAGAGGCAAAGGGCCTGTGGGATTCAGGGTGCCCCACTGCCAATGCTGTGGATACTGGGTGTTGCACACAGACCCTGGCAGAGGGCCGGGCACTGCACACCTGCCTGGGCCCTTGCTCTGGAGCCTGACCACCTCCGCCATCTTGTCTCTCTTGGCTTTTCCTGGGCAGCCGTAGCTCCATATTGGACGTCCCCAGAGAAGATGGAAAAGAAACTGCACGCGGTACCAGCTGCCAAGACTGTGAAGTTCAAATGTCCTTCTAGTGGGACACCCAACCCCACGCTGCGCTGGTTGAAAAATGGCAAAGAATTCAAACCTGACCACAGGATTGGAGGCTACAAGGTACACATTGTGTATACATATGAAAGTTGGGAAAGTTAGCATAAGAGGAATGGAAGAGGCTGAGATAGAAAATCCTCACTGTATGCCTGTAATTTGTAGGGTTGGTTTTTTTGTTGTTGTTGTTTTTTCTTTTTTGTTTTTTTTTTTTTTTTCATTTGTTTCATTTTTTGAGTTTTCTTAGTACTAGGAAAGGAACCCAGGGCCTTGCACATGCTAAGCAAGTGCTCTATACTCAGCCCCAGCCCCAGCCCCTCGTAATTGTTTTATTTTATTTTTGGTTTTATTTTTTTATTTTTCGTAATTGTTTTAAATAATGCTTTTTTAACTATAATGATAGTGTTTTTAAATTGTCAAGTGCAAAAAAAAAGTTTAAAAATTACCCTTTTTCTGTGTATATATGGCTTTTACATGATTGACCACATTGTACATATAATTTCTTGTTATTTGTTAACAATAACATGAATCATTGTTATTTCAAGCATGAGTGTTTGAAAGATAGTTTTTCATGGCTACCTACAATTCCATTATAAATATATCCCACAATTTAATGAATTATTTTTATTTTTGTACTTATTTTTTTGGTACCAGGAATCAAACCCAGGGCTTTGCGCTTGCCAGGCAGGCACTGTGCTGCTGAGCTGCATCCTTGGCCCTTGAATTATTTTATGATATTTAGGTATTTTCTAGTTTTTCACAAATGTAAATAATGTTCCACAAATATATTCATCAGCATGTTTAAATGTGCTTCCTTAGAACAGATTTCTGGAAATGCAATTACTGGGTCAAAGGGTATTAGCATTTTTTAAGCTGTTGGTGCATATTACCCAATTACTCTTTTTTTCATGGTAGAGATGATTGAGATGATTGGGATGGAAACCAGGGTCTTGCCCATGCTAAGCACACATTCTATCACTGAGCTACACCCCAGCCCACAATTACTTTATTTTTTGTTTGTTTGTTTTGTTTTTTTTGAGACATGGTCTCCCCATTGTAGTCCAGGCTGGCCTTGGACTACTTGATGCTCCTGCCTCAGCCTCCTGAATGCTGGGATTACAGGCATGCACCACCATGCCTGGCTCACAATTACTTTCTTAAAAGGAAAAATGGCTGGATGTGGCAGTGTACAACTGTAATCTAAGCACTAGGGAGGCTGAGACAGGAAGATTGCTGTGAGTTCAAGGCCCTCCTGGGCTACAAAGTAAGTTCAAGGCCAGCCTGAAACTACAGAGGGAGACCCTGTCTCAAAAAAAAAAAGAAAAGGAAAATGAAGTCACCTTCCCATAGCAAAACATAAGAATAACAAGTTCACCAGGCCTTTGGCAACAATGAAAGTGCCTCATTGTTTTTATTTGTTCAGTTTTGCTAATTTAGACCATCCATGTTAATGACCAACCTTCCTTCCCCTTCTTTATTCTCTGGTCATCCTCAGAGTCCCTGTTTGTCTCTCTCTTAGCTAACCTCTCTCTCTCCCTCCTCCTCCTCCTCCT